AGAACTGATTTGAGGTGCGGCCTCACCAGTGCGGAGTACAGGGGCACGATCACTTCTCTGCTCATGCTGCCCTCTCTGTTCCTGATACAAGCCAAGATGCCATTGGCCTTCTTGGCCACCTAGGCACACTGCTGGCTCATGTTTAGCCATCTGTTGACGAGCACCCCCAGGTCCTTTTCTGCTGGGCAGCTTTCCAGCCACTCTTCCCCAAGCCTGTACCGTTGCATGGGGTTGTTGTGACCCAAGTGCAGGACCCGGCACTTGGCCTTGGTGAACCTCATACAATTGGCCTTGGTCCATCAATCCAGCCTGTCCAGGTCCCTCTGCAGAGCCTCCCTACCCTCAAGCAGATCGACACTTCTGCCCAGTTTGGTGTCATCTGCAAACTTACTGAGGGTGCACTCTCCCCTCATCCAAATCGTTGATAAAGGTATTAAACAAGACTGGCTGCAATACTGAACCCTGGGGAACACCACTTGCAACTGGCCACTGACTGGATTTAACTCCATTCACCACAACACTTTGGGCTCAGCCATACAGCCAGTTTTTTACCCAGCAAAGAATATACCCATCCAAGCCATAAGCAGCCATTTTCTCCAGGAGAACACTGTGGGAAATGGTGTTAAAGGCTTTACTGAAGTCCAGGTAGACAACACCCACAGCCTTTCCCTTGTCCATTAGGGGGGCCATCTTGTCATAGGAGGAGATCAGGTTAGTCAAGCAGGAGTTGCCCTTCGTAAACCCATGCTGACTGGGCCTGATCACCTGGATGTCCTGTACATGCCACATGATGGCACTCAAAATGATCTGCTCCATAACCTTCCCCAGCACCGAGGTCAGATTGACAGGCCTGTAGTTCCCCAGATCCTCCTTCTGGCCCCTCTTGTAGATGGGCATCACATTTGCCAACCTCCAGTCAAGTGGGACCTCTCTGCTTAGCCAGGACTGCTGATAAATGATGGAAAGGGTCTTGGTGGATCCCGTCTGGCCCCACAGACTTGTGTGTGTCTAAGTGCTGCAGCAGGTTGCTAACACTTTCCCTTGGATTATAGGGGCTTCATTCTGCTCTCCGACCCTGTCTTCCAGCTCAGGGGGCTGGGTACCCTGAGAACAACTGGTCTGACTATTAAAGACTGGGGCAAAGAAAGCAGTTAAGTACCTCAGCCTTTCCCTCGTCCTTTGTCACGATGTTTCCCCCCACATCTGATAAAGGACGGAGATTCTCCTTAGCCCTCCGTCTGTTGCTAATGCAAGTATCACGCTTTACATCTAGCTTTTCTAAGCAGTTCAGTATTTTGTGCCTCAGAAGACTACAGCCAAAACAGCATGCACAGCTCACCTTCCCATGTTACAGTAAGTCATCTCTGCAGGTTCAAAAGGGGCTATCCCAGAGAACACGGTGACCCAGAAGCCAAAGATAAAGTGTTTACAATTTGTTCCAGACATCACTTATTTAGCTACCCATAGTTCTTTATATTTACAGCCCCTTCTATTGCTCTGCTGAGAGTAGTAACCTGAATATGCCAAGAACATCGTGGGAGCCTGCTAAACATGGACTAAATTTACTCCAGCGTCTCATAGCTGCAATGGTTTAACAAGTGCTGCACAGGCACAGTATGAGTAATACCATTTATAATCAGTTAAGCTAATCATCGTTATCCCCCTTCCATAGCTGCTTCTTCCCTGAGGACAGAAAAAAGTCATCTTCTTTTGAGACGCAGTTAGCCACTTCAGTGGACAAAAGGTCCCACGACCCAGAAAGCATTATTTTGACAATTTTCAAGCCCTTTTGAAAATACTAAAGACAAAACCTAGTAAGTGGATGTTTGCAGAGAGATCCAAGTTTTTGACATTATTTTAAAAAAAATGAAAATCTGTCTGCCACTTAATGTCATTTTCTCTATAATCAGAGACACATTATGTATATTCCAAAGCTAGCATTCACCTTGCTAGCCTAAGCGAAGTCCTCAAAAAAAAAAAAACCCAAACCAACACAAAAAACCCCACCCACAACCCCCTGTGGTTTTTCTAACAATAACAGGAAGGTGTTCGACAAGGTGGTTTTTATTCTTCTCTCTTTTGATAACATGGCTGCATAGCCTCATCTTTCTGGCCCAGAGCCATGCAGCCACCAAAGCTCTTTTCTGCTTCCTGAGCTGGTGCTTTAAGATACCAAACTCTGACGAAAGCAGCACTCTGTTGCTCAGGTTTGGAAAACTAATTGCACCCTATTGGCCTGATCTAAATTAGGAGCTTAGTTAACACTCCGCTTAACTTCTCAGTACTGATAGGGCTTGGATGGAAACCTGAAGCCATGCTGCTTGGAGTAGGTGAAGCAGGGCACGAACAGGAGCAAATCCCTTGGCATTCAAAGATCAAAACGGGACTTAGTTGACGAGTCTTGGCCTTCTTCCAGAATGAGGCAGCTGCATCAGGGGGTGCTGCAGACAACAATTTTGCATTTAAGCAAGCAGAACAGGTACTCATGCTATCTAGCTTAATCGTTATCTAATGCTAGTGTTCTGAATTTCTCACAGAGACATGCTTCATTATCTTGCCAACAAAGAACAGAATTTTAAAGTGATTCACAAGACCAAAGTGCAAAAATCCTACTCTTCCAAAGTCCCTCCAGGTCCTGTTTTAGGCATGAGGTGCTTTCTTCTGACTCTAAGCCAAAATCTATAAGCACTACTCATCAATAGCAGTTCAAACAGAATTAAGAAAACTGTTAATGGAAGATGATTTAAGGTAAGGAATTCCAGATGCCAATTCTGCACAGAAGCAGGCTCATTTTTATCTGTTTCTTTTCCATGTCACTTGCCTCAAGTGACTTTATGCTTGGAACAAAAGAACATGGAGGACCACCACTGGGTCAGTGGTAATAGTCTGGACTGAGCTACTGCTTCCCGCTGATAAAAGCAAATCCTACAGGGAAAGCAGTGAGGCAGAAGCAGCAGAGTAGAAAGATGTATCAACGTGCTTCAGCTGCCAGAACCCTTGAAAGAGTACTGTATTAGGTCAGAACAAAGGTCAGTTTTGGTTTTATTCTTTCTGACAAGACACCAGTAGCCAACATGAAACAGTAAGGTGTGTAAGAATAAAACATTCCTGTTAATATCTCTGTGTATTTTTCAGTTAGAGGTAGTCAGTAACATAGGATATTTCTGAGTAGAGACTGTATTTAATATTTTTAAAAATCACGTTTCACATATACGTTTAATCCTTTTGACCCTATGACCCTGAAAAAAAGTCTCACAGCAGTGTGCTCCACTACTACATTACACAGCGTAATGAAATAAAAGATTGAAACTTGCTGCCTGATCACTTCATTGAAATCTTAATTCTTATAAGCTATCAACCATTCCCAAGTCAAAGTCACAGACAAGGTCAAACTGCTCCTCTGTCACATTTTAGTTTTCTATCTTTTTTTAAAAACAGCATCGAACACGGTACTGGAGAAGATGACAAACCTTGAATTTAAGTAGTGGCATAATATTTTGTTTGTTTGCTTTGCTCTCCATTTCTTTTTTTTTCCTTTTCCTTTTTACTGCCAACGAGCCCTCACCCAGCATTTGCAGAGAAGCATGCTGGCAGCAAGATTTTCTTCCTTAGCGGAGTTTAGAACTCCTCACTCCTCATTATAATACGTGATATACAGTGATTTGCATTTATTACCACTAAGTTACACCTGGAACTTTAGCACTTGGCTATTCAGTATCAAGGGATCTTTCTGAAATTCAGTAAAGGAAGCTCCAGATTTAAGCTTTCAGCAGAAAGTCACAAAGTGACTCTTAAAAACATTCTTTGGATTACTGAGTCCAAGACCTTCCTATGCATAAAGCCCAGTATTTCTCCCCATTCTGTGGCTTGAGTAGTTTGTACAGAAAAATCTTTTACTTTATTACCTTATTCTTGTTTCTGAATTCTTGTGAAACTAGCAACAGAAGACCCCAGAACGACAGTCTGAATGCGACTGCTTTATATTCACTTAGAGGCTCTGTGTGCATGTCTTTGCTTTGCACCTAGTTATACATCTGAACCTACATTGCTATTAATTAAGAATACATAATGGTATATTTGGATTTACATTTTCTATATTTGGAAGAAAACCAAGTTCTGATGAGCAACAGAAGAGCTGAAAATAGAAACAGAGGCCAGCTGGTCTCTTCTCCCAAGTGTGAAAGTGTGAATGTGTTTTATATTGTGCCTCCTAAAAATGAAAATTTGACTACACTAAGTGGCCAACATAAAAGGGTTACCACCACCATCATGTGTCTGTGGTTTTGGGAGTGATCACTGCTGTGGGGCTTTGTACTGTTCTCCTAATGTGGCTATGAGGCTTTTTTAGGAGAACATGACTAGAACCCTACAGAGACTTAAGGACAGAGACCCTATTTAGAAGATGTGAACAGCTTTAGGTGCACAATAGGTGCCAACACACTTTGCTTAGAGACCATGACAGTTCCAAGCATACATAAAAGGTGATTTTTAAGCACATAGTAAACTTTGTGCCTTTTGGAGTTTGTCAGCAGGTTCAGATGCCTGAGAGGACAGGGCTGTGATCCATGTTAGATACAAGTATATTTAAAAACCCGTACATAACCATAATTACCGTGTTAGGCACCCAAACTACAGTCAGGAGCAGAAGTGCAGTTTAAGCCCTTATCACAGCAAGATGTATTCAGTATCAGATGAGAGCATATTAAAACATATGCACATTCCCATTTTTAAAATATATGGCCATTCTCATTTTTAATGCACGAGCAACAGAACTATCACTCTTACAAAAATATTAAGTATGTTTCAAGACTGAACTAATCACCCCATCACTTTTAACTTACATCTCCTATGAAGCCTATATTGTATACAGGCTATATAGTACTATGAAGTGTACAGCAAGTTACTAAAACTGTGCATAAGACAGAAGATCAACATCTTAATATCCTTTTGGAAAACAGACAGATGTATTGTTTAGTCTTAAATGATTTCACAGACCAAGCTGATGTGACAGTAATTTATTACATTACTGCATGAAGAGTTAGAAGAGTTAAAAGACTAGTACAATGCTTAAGGCTGAAATTCAAGCCTATGCAGAGAAACTAGTGCAAGATTCATATACTACTAAAGTACTACTAAAGCACTGCTTCCAAACAGGCAATAAACAGACTAACATATAAAGTGTCACTGGTGCTAACAGTGATCCTAAGAGGAACCCCTCTTAAGAAAAAAAAAATTGTGGGAAATTCTCTTATGAAAGATTCACTTCCAGGGTTTGGGTCTAGATACTAACTGCAAGAAGCATTCTCTCAGATATTTTCTGGAATTAAGTGTAGAAACACATCATTTTCTTAAGAAGCTGCCTCAAAAGGTGAAGTTTTGAGAGACAGAGATCAAAAGATGGAAGGTTCAGGGGGCAGTGTAGAACTATAACATGATTTTCAGTGTTTTCAACACCAAGACAGACCTCTATTACAGATAACTCTGTAGCACTTTACAAAATGTACACTATATATACATTACAGATGCATATAAAACAGTATTATTTCAATCACTAAGTTCTTCCTCATCACTGAAATAAGCACTTTTCTTAATCCGTGGACGTTTTGAATCATCTGAAATGGAAGATTCCCCTGCAGTCTGCGTCCATCTTTGTTGTTCCTCTTCAATTTTGGCTTGCTACAGTGAAAGGAGGAAAAGTATTAGCTAGGATTAAGAAAAATTAAGAGGCATTACAAATAATAATGCTAATTATTAATATGCATTGAATTATTTAGTAAGTTAAAGAATTCAAAGGGTTTATCTCCATTTCCAGATAAACCGCACAATGAATGCACTAGAAAACATTACTGAAAGCAGTTCTCGCACACGAACAGTAAGTCTTCTGCACCAATGCAGTCCACGTGGAGCACCCTCTGCTTTCAAAGAGAGGAACTTTGCCTATGGCAAACTTACAGAACTGTAGAGCAGCTGAGATCTGAAGCAAAAGAATGCATCACGTTTTAAATTTATATTATTGGGTCAGCTCTGTTCTACTAACAAGTTCTATCTGTTGTTTTTTGCAGTCATTCATTCAAGGAATGAATGTCTTCAGGGATGCAAAGGTTGTTCAACTAAATGTTTAAGTAGGTGCTCCTTATTTTTACTGAGAAATATGCTATCCCAGTCAAAAATCTTCGGATGGCGAGAGAAATGGGAATGTTTCCTGGCTTGTTTACCTTTATAGGTTTTACCTCCAAATGTGGAGTTTTCTGGGGGTGGGATAATTGTGCATATTAGCATCCTTTTTTTGAACTATGTTATGTAAAAGTTCTGCACTCGTTACAGTCACATTCAGGGCAAAGTTATCTTAAAAACTCTTGAGGGTTTTGGGCGGGGGGACGGACAGACAGGGGCACAGGGAACAGTTGAGGACTAGGGAGCCAAGAAATTTGAACATCAGGTCAGGCTTGCTCTGTGGAGTGAAGCAAAAGCCTGTAAAGAAGTATTAAAGAAGACAGTAATACAGCTGTCAGACTATCTATTTACATAACAAAAAATGCATTAAATATGTTTTGAGAGAAGAGGTCTATCAGAGACTGTGATGGCCTGTATTAGGCAAAGGAAGTGTTCCTGAAATAGACGTTGTTCAAGGATGTTCTAGTGAGTGAAGGCAGAGGATGTACCTGGTCATTTAGACATGAGCCTTTTTTGGCTGCTCAGTTAACAGAGTAAAGAGGGATTTGTGGATCAAAAACCTAAAAGCGCGTAACAGCAGACATGACAGGAAACTAAGCAGCAAAGGAGCTTGAAGGAATGAAAAAACTGCAATGCACAAACACAGCAATAGTGAAACAGTAAAAAAAAAAACAACCAACCAAACAAACAAAAAAAACCCAGCCCCCAAAAAACACAAACAAAAAACCCCTGACTGAACATGCTTGCAATATGAAGAAACCAACTAGTCAGCAACTACTGCCAGGCAAGAGTGTCCTGAGTGCTACAGAGCTGACAGACCTATGGGTGTATCTCAGAGCTTCTGAAAAACAGCTAAAAAAGGAATTAGAGTTGCATTTAAATAATAATAAATATGCAATGTTTCAATTTTGTACCTGAAAAGCTATGGCTTGGCTGAGGCTATCTAGAGCAGGGTCTTCTCCTTCCTCTTCACTTTCTTCTTCCTCCTCACTTCATTGTGCAGAAAGAGAAAAATATATAGATCTTTACTTTAGGTGTTCAGTATGAAAAAGCTTCCTAAAAGAAGTAGTAACATGTCAATAAATATACATACATTTCTTCTGGCTCAACTGTTTTCTTTCTCTTCTTCTTTTCTTTTTTTTTTGGTGGCTCACGCTCTCCTAGCATATTTTTTGGACAAGCGTAACTTAAATGTCCTGCTTCCTTGGAGAAAAAGAAATATTGCTTAACAGAAACCATAACAAACAACTATATGCTGAAACATATCGTGAGGAAAGTTAATGTAAGACAGTTTGTGGGGAAAAAAATGGAAGCAATTAGTAAGATGAATGGAATGCTGAATTAGCACACAGAAGACAAACTCTTCTCTATAAGCTTGCCATAAAAAAATGAAGAGATTGGTGGTGATATGCATGTTTAACTGCAAATTGAGAACAAGCTATGAGCAAAGTAGATTTTCTTTGGCAGCTGCAATAGCTGAATACACTGCAGCATGGTTTATGTTCAAGTCAAGGTATAAACCTCAGCATTAACAGTTTAAGAAACAGGAGTCAACATTTTTGCTTTAAAAAGTGTTATGAATATAAATCAAGTTTGTATTTGACCTTAAATACTATCCAAATCTCAGTCTCCTATGTTATTATGTTTAGGAAAAGTGAGGAATTGCTTACAACTTAAAACACACTTCTGTTTAAAAACAGTTATTTCCAATATTTATTTTGCTGCCAACTGTATCCTGAACTTCCAAAGATATAGCAAAAGCAGGTATTTTGAAGCAAAGATGAGGAGGTTTTCCTTCTCAAAGAGCATTATACTGATATTCAGATCTGTCTGTTCATCAGCATGTTAAGCAGAATTTATATGTACCTATTTTCCCCCATCCCTAAACTCCCAAATAAAAGACAGAAGGGGTACTATCATTCTTGAAAATGGTAAAACTGTTAGGCAATTTGATAATATCAACAGAAAAAAAAAATAACAGCACAGGCAGGATTAGCAATGGCCAAACTGAAGAAACAAGCTGGGAGTCAAGAGTTGGAAAGTATTAGTTCATTTTTGGTTTTACTCACCCCACATTCGTAACACTTAGACTTATCAAAGTAGTTACGCCTGCGAATGAATTCTGCTGCTCTTCCATTATCAATGGCAATACTTGCTTTTATTACTCTTCCAAACAACTACAGCAAATTGGATTAGCAATGGCCAAACTGAAGAAACAAGCTGGGAGTCAAGAGTTGGAAAGTATTAGTTCATTTTTGGTTTTACTCACCCCACATTCGTAACACTTAGACTTATCAAAGTAGTTACGCCTGCGAATGAATTCTGCTGCTCTTCCATTATCAATGGCAATACTTGCTTTTATTACTCTTCCAAACAACTACAGCAAATTGGAGAAAAAAAAAAAAGAAAAAAAAAAAAAAGGTAAACAGGCTCACGCTCTCCTAGCATATTTTTTGGACAAGCGTAACTTAAATGTCCTGCTTCCTTGGAGAAAAAGAAATATTGCTTAACAGAAACCATAACAAACAACTATATGCTGAAACATATCGTGAGGAAAGTTAATGTAAGACAGTTTGTGGGGAAAAAAATGGAAGCAATTAGTAAGATGAATGGAATGCTGAATTAGCACACAGAAGACAAACTCTTCTCTATAAGCTTGCCATAAAAAAATGAAGAGATTGGTGGTGATATGCATGTTAAACTGCAAATTGAGAACAAGCTATGAGCAAAGTAGATTTTCTTTGGCAGCTGCAATAGCTGAATACACTGCAGCATGGTTTATGTTCAAGTCAAGGTATAAACCTCAGCATTAACAGTTTAAGAAACAGGAGTCAACATTTTTGCTTTAAAAAGTGTTATGAATATAAATCAAGTTTGTATTTGACCTTAAATACTATCCAAATCTCAGTCTCCTATGTTATTATGTTTAGGAAAAGTGAGGAATTGCTTACAACTTAAAACACACTTCTGTTTAAAAACAGTTATTTCCAATATTTATTTTGCTGCCAACTGTATCCTGAACTTCCAAAGATATAGCAAAAGCAGGTATTTTGAAGCAAAGATGAGGAGGTTTTCCTTCTCAAAGAGCATTATACTGATATTCAGATCTGTCTGTTCATCAGCATGTTAAGCAGAATTTATATGTACCTATTTTCCCCCATCCCTAAACTCCCAAATAAAAGACAGAAGGGGTACTATCATTCTTGAAAATGGTAAAACTGTTAGGCAATTTGATAATATCAACAGAAAAAAAAAATAACAGCACAGGCAGGATTAGCAATGGCCAAACTGAAGAAACAAGCTGGGAGTCAAGAGTTGGAAAGTATTAGTTCATTTTTGGTTTTACTCACCCCACATTCGTAACACTTAGACTTATCAAAGTAGTTACGCCTGCGAATGAATTCTGCTGCTCTTCCATTATCAATGGCAATACTTGCTTTTATTACTCTTCCAAACAACTACAGCAAATTGGAAAAAAAAAAAAAAGAAAAAAAAAAAAAGGTAAACATTTTGGGATTGTAAACCCAACCCTCCTGCCATAACAACTTTCCACAATTTACCTGTTTGTTATTAAGTGCCCGAGAACAGTTTTGTGCAGATTCTTTATCCAAAAACAAAATAAAGGCAACTCCTTTGCTCTTCCTGGTGTCTTTGTCTTTCATAATAGTAACTCTGAAAACATATAACCACATTTTTGATACAAATTGCTTTAGAGACATTTTTTCCTTAAAGATCTCCATGGGATCTTAGCTTTGTTATATATATATAGCAAAAGGAAAAAGTATATTTAACAATAGAAAGGCTCACTAAACAGAAACTCAGAGAAAACAGCTAACCTGGCCATGTGCTTACAGGTAGAGTGGAGATGATTTTAAAAAAAGTATGTGGGGGTCTTTCTGAGTCCAGTATTATTCTTTATTCCCTTGGATGACTTTAAGTACATAGTCTTTAGATTTGCAGACAACATAACTGGAGGGAACTACACATACTGGAGGTGAAGTTAAAATTCAGGAATAATCTCGACCATTGCTAACATTGCTGAAAAACACAGTGTACTGAACTGCATCCAAACTGAGAATTCTATGTTTCTGTAGGACTAACCATCTGAACAGGTTCATGATAGGAAACAAGTATATGCTGGAATCCAGGCAGGTCATGGATGTGTGTGTTATTTTACATAACATACAAAGTTAAATCTTCAGTCTAACACTGGAATCAACAGCTCCAGTAGCACATTGAGAAATTCAAGAAAGATTTAGACACAGTAAAAACAACAGAAAAAGAATGACAAGAGATGAAGGATGGGGGAACCCACACAACCTCAATTCTTTCAGTCTTAACATCAATTGTTTTTAGCACCTCACTCCCCAAAAAATCCCAAACAGTGGAAACAGGATGCCAGTCTGCCTGTACATGAAAATAAAAGTACGTGTTAAAAACTAGGGAATAAACTCCTCCCTGTGTCCACCACAGGTAGAACAAGGTTCAGCCATAAAGCAAGATAAGACATTTTTTTAAAAAACAACAAACAAACCCTACTTCAGTGCCGAAGGCCTACCAGAGAACTTGTACAAGTAACATATGACCTGTACTGTAAAATAATGTATAAAATAAAAGCTCAGTAAAGAAAGCTCAAATTTCCCCCAGATACACACACAGAAAGATATAGCTTAGAACAGTTTTGCTACCAAAGCCTCTTGGACAAGGGTGTGTCCAACTGAATGCACCGAGTTGAAGTGTCAATAAAACTGACTTTGGAACAATTCTACCAATTATTTTGCCAAGTTACTCTTCCAAGAGTTCCAATGGAACCCTAACATGACTGTCAGGCTTCTAATTGGGATACTGAACATACTAGTTAGTAACACAAGCATAGAAAGAAACAAGTGCAACAAATCTTTAAAGAGTCAGCAACTTCTTGGAGCCCTAGGAAGTTTGATTTTTTACTGAACAAACTGAGCTGAAATCGTAATAGTCACGATATACTGAGGTGAGAAATGCAGTAGGGAAGAAAAGTCAGTATGTTTCTGCTGAGTTAAGACACACTTCAAAAAGAAGTCTATTAAAGCTTATTTAATTAAGTTAAAGCTGACCTAGATGACATCGCAAAGCTTTCTGCAAAGTGTTTTGAAGTCCCTGAACAAAGACTCTACAGAAATCAAGCTAATATTTGAAAAGTTTTTTCTCAGGAATTAATAACTAGTTACAAATAGGAAAACCGATCCCTGTTAGCCTCAGTTTCATAGTGAACTGGGAATACCAGTAGAATCCCACAGTATCTGCAGTGTTTATTAGTCAGGTCAGCTTGCAAAGGGTCAAAGAGGAAATAAATTTTGCTAGGTACAATAAAAAAAAAAAAATCACAGTAGTATTTTACACATGGTATTCTGTGACTCTTGGCATTTGGTTTAACTTCTGGCAGCAATTAGACAAAATAGGTATCAGCAAGTGAATTTTTTGCAAAACAATATATGGGGGGGAAAACAGTAACTGTGCAGACAGAATTGAAAGTTCTAAATTAGCTACTTTCACACAGGACAGTGCAGAATTTCTTCTGCATAGGCATCCAAAAACACCATTTCTGTTGTCTATGACAGTCAAAAAAAAGGCAAATTCTACACTAGAAAGTATTAATAAAGGAAAAAAAAAAAAGAGGGATGCTGCTATGACACCTTTAAAATAAGCAATGCATTATACAGCCAATACTTCATACAATTCTCATCCTCCTAACAAATAAGTTCAAAAGCCAAGACAGTAGGAAACCCCTAACCCGCAAACATACAGAGTATAAGTACATTACCAAGTGATAGCAGGGAGGTCAGAAGTGTCAAATTTATGGAGCACAGGCCCCCCAAAGGATATTAAACACCAGCATTACTACAACCTCTGCTCAGGATTTTTCTAAACCAGTAGATCAGCAATCAGCTAAAACAGACACCCCACCCTGGAAGCAATAGAGACTGTAGGTGCCCAGCTGTATTGGTCACTGCATGTCTGCCAAAGCCCTACATAAGGGTTTTCCTCTCAGTCAATTTAAAAAATATGCTTTTCTAAAATGGTAGTTTGGCTTTTCCTGCTATTTGTCACCTGAAACACACTCCTGAGACTTCAAAAAGTTTGAATTTAGCTCTGTATCTCACAGGTTATTACAGCAGCTACTAAAAGTTAGAGTAGATATTTGCTGCTGTAGTGTTGGAAAACTGAAGTCTTGAGGCTCGTTCTTCTGACCAGTTAAAAAAATAAACAAAACAAAACAGCAAGTTCCTTACTGTGGCATTTATTTCTATCATTTGAACATAAATGCAGGTATTCACGAGTATTGTTCATGAATACCCCACTTATTAAAACCTGTTACTATGCAGCCTTACATCTAATCTTAAATGCAATACTAAGCAGTCACAATAACAAGTCTCTCTAGAAGCACAAATAGAGGAATTGTACGTTGCAATTGTTTGTGGGAATTGTGACATCTCGTTCACATAAGTAGAAGCTCCCACTTTTACACTTATCCACTTGTGTCCCAGGTGGTGTTTGGGGGAAGGGGAATAACACTTACCAGAAGAATATTCTTTCAACTATTTCAGAGAAAAGATGATTGGTACATAACAACATACTACTTGCTCCTAAGAAGTGGTTAGCAAAACTGTCCTCAACACAAATATTCTTACATTATGCGTGTAACTGCAAGAACTTCCAGTTGTTAAATTAAATTTACACTTTATTAAAAATGAACAGGACTTAGATACAGTTCCACGTTCATACTTAAATTATAAAAAGCACAAGACTCAAGTGAAGCAAAGACATGAAATATTTAAAATGAAAGCTATGAAAATAGCAGGCCGTATCAGGTCACTTACTTGACAACTTTCCCATACTTCGAAAAGATCTGAAATATGAAACAAAATAAAAGTATTTAACAATAGACCACTGCATGTCATTAGTAATAAATTTATCAAGACAAACTTTTCTAAGGAAGAGATATATCTCGGTATTGTATTTACACTCAAAATTGTTGTCAACAAGTTTAATCTGCACAATACAGCTCTTAAAAACTCACCCTGTACAGATCGTTGTTTGTCAAAGCAAAGGGTAAATTGGACACATACACTGTGCTTTTGCTTGGTGCCAACCCACCACTCATTTTTCTGATGAAAGGAGAAAGAGAGAAGATTTAAACTGTATTCAACAGAGCAATCAATTACAAAACAGTTGCAAGACTTTTTCAAACCTAGCCCAGATGGTCATGATAAAGTTAGAGGAAAACAGTTTTCTTTTCCCTTTCATCATTTTACATGAAATTAGTGTTTGCCTTCACATGCTACAGAAGACATACATTCCTTCCCCCTCCCCTGGATCCAAAGCATATTTTTGCTGTATGCGAGTCAGTTTGTAAGCCATGAAAAAAAGAGACAAGTTAGCATACTTAAAATAAGCCTCTGCCAATTCGTGCAGTAAAGAAAGGTTTAGGTCTAGAAAGGAACAAGCAATCTCCATTTATTAAACTTTCTGGCCAACATGTGAAATTAATGACCGTTGTTCAAGTAGCTGCATGTTCTGATTCTTTACACAAGTTTCAGTTCAGCTGCATTCAACATAGAATAAACCACATTTGGTTAAAGGGGGGGGGGAAAAAAAAAAAGCTTCCCTAAAGCAGAATCCAAATTACTGGGGTGGAAAAAGATACGGCATTTGGCTTTAGAATGTATCTCAGCTACTAAAGCAGCAAGTATTTCCTCTTGTATCTATTGCTCAAGCTTCTACACTGCTCTGGAACCGCAAGAGTCCAGAATTGATCATAGCAGAATCCAAATTACTGGGGTGGAAAAAGATACATTCTAAAGCCAAATGCCGTATCTCAGCTACTAAAGCAGCAAGCATTTCCTCTTGTATCTATTGCTCAGGCTTCTACACTGCTCTGGAACCGCAAGAGTCCAGAATTGATCATAGACAGCATCTCCCTTAGTGGCACTCCCCCTCCTGATTAAACATCTCTATACTGGCAGGAACCAGGGAAATCTCAAAGCCATTTCCAATCTCTTTTAAGTTCTTGAAACTAAGTAGCCAAGAAAATGTCTAGAAACAATGAATTGATTCAAGACCCTTGTCATACCTAGTATTAGATGATGTGTATACAGTTAAAGAGTAACTGAACTAACTTGAAAAAGAGCAGCCTATGCTTCTTCCTTACGTTTGGACATTTCCCAAAGCTTTAAGCGGTGCTAAAGTCTGTGCAAAACACTTCTTCCCTCCAATCAATTCTGTAGCCATGGCTCGGTCCAAGAGTCAAGTGAGTAAAATTTAAGATCAGAAAAAAGCAAAACCCTTATGAGAGGGCACACCAAATAGTCCAGCAAAAACGTTCCCTTTCCTACCTCCTCATCCAGTTTCCTGCAGCCTTATTCCTGCTTCTTGGCACCTCTGGCCAATTCCTAACTGAGGATCAAGATATTTCTTCAGCAAGACCAACTCATTTTAAAAATGCAAACAAAAGCTGATGAAGGGATAAAAGGAACTAAAGCACTAGAACTCAACATCCGTCATAGTACGCACAGTTTCTTAGGGGACTTTTCAGGTAGTGAGTTTGAGCAGATTCCTTGGCCAAGTGCCAGCAAAGTAACTAATATCACACTCTAACCCGGCTGTGGTTATTCTCTGCGATTTCACGATTCAGTCATCTCAAGACCTGACATTCCCAGTAGACACTGATTATCCAAGTGTTTTCCTTTTCTTTCCCGACATGCTTACTGTATCACAATTCGAACAGCAGTTTCCAAGTGATTGAATTTTGAGTTCTTCCGTGTTCAGAGACTGTGTTTTTTGGCATGAGCAGAAATGGCAACATAAAGGTTAAGCAAATGAAAACAGAATAAATTTACAATAAAGGCCACACATTGCATCTGGTGTTACACAGACTGGATTAATTATCCCAAATTCCATGCTGCTTGGCATTGGTAACCTCGACAAGCCTAACCACACTGACTTGGCAATGTGCCACCCAAATAAAGGGCCCAAAGTGCAGTTATCCAGATGTACAGTGGATACAGAGGATAGGGTAAGAGCTACCTTAGCGCTACATTATGGTATGTTGACAATGCTAATATATTGCAACAGTGGAGGTAGACCTCAGGTGGCTGTAGATAGCAATTTAACTCTACCTAAAAGACAAGAGAAGCTAGAGCACCTTGTAACAGGAGACCAAGCAGGCCCCATATTACTGAACAGACGGCAGTGAGAACGGCATGACTGGAGCGCAGTCAGCTTGCGTATGCCACAACACCACAGCGCAAACCTCCGAAGAGGAGGTGATACGTCATGTGAAGACTACTACAGGCCTAATAGCTCAGTCGATAGGAAATTAATAATGAATAAAGGCTACAGAACTGCCATTTTCAGGTGCACTCTACTTTTTCCACAAGCAAACTGAAAGAGTTGCACCCTGGAGCGCTGGCTGCCAGACAGCCGAGGCTGAGCTTTGTTTCTAGTCCCCTAGCCACATTTAAGTGAAACAGTCTTGCTGCTCCGATTGCCCAAATACTCTTAGCAATATTGTTTAGGACTATCATGTCAGGACTTCGTACTTTTAATGGCTGACTCACCAGACAGGCACAATTTTAACAGAAGAGAAAGTACAGTAATCGTAAGGCCATCGCCATGCTCATGTTCAAGATGGAAAAGGTTCAAATTTGCCCCTCCGGGAAAGAATATTTCCCCAGATCCACAGGAGGACCTCATCTTCTGAATACTAACGGGTCATTGGGATGGCTTACAAATATCTTATTTAAGCCAGCAGATATACTGACAGGTTTGCAGAATGGCAACATTTAGGCCATTCATCTTATCTACCTAAAAGCCTCACTGTCCTTACTTAAGTCTTCTGCAGCACGTGTTTTACCAAAAGCAATCTCTCAAAAGGCTTGAGCATGTTAAAATGCAGATTTCTGGTTATCTGTTGTGAATACAGTGGTACAAATGCAGTTTTAGACCAAACTAGTGGCACAATTTCTTCCCCCCCTCATAATCCTTAACAAAACATCACACATGTCAATTTTAACCCTGCCTTAAGAAATCCATTAGTCCTTTTTATTTTTTAAACCACCACAAAGCCCCTGTGGGGATACTAAGTGCCAATACCATGTGAATAGCTTCCCCGCCCCCCCCTAAAAAAGCCAATTCCAGCTTTAAGCTAGCTTTCTAGATGAGATAAATGTCATCTGGAGGCTCATCATTGCAAAGCTCGGAGTCCTTTTACTTCAGGAATTTTCTAACTTCATAGAACTGTCCAATACAAGTTTAACATTTTCATCACATTCTTTCTCCTTGATCACCAGTCTCTCTGCTTTATAGGTTTTCACTCCATGGGGTTGAGCACAATTCCCATTAATGTAATAGCCTCTCTGTAATATTAATGCATTCTTCATTTACCATTTTCACATATTAACTTTCAGAATGGGGTTGTCCCTCATTACTAGAGCTTCTTGAATTCAATCTTCTTTGTCTTTTCCAGCAACTCAAACTACAAGAAGCCATTCTTTGACAAGAGCCATCTGTCAGTAATGATTAAGTCTCCCGCAAAATATAGTGCGGTACCCGAGTATGTTTTTCTTGACTCCAATATGCTTAATGCAGCATCTGTCACTCATGTTGAGAACATCACAAGAGAAGACAAAGATCAATTTCAGTAATTGGCTTTTCTGCTCTGTCCCAGAACACATAAGGACACCACCAAAACAGTTCAGACGTGTCTGAAGCATCAAGTGGAGTCTGAATTTACTGGTATTTTCATGAACTGCCATCAACGTTTCAACTTAAGCACAAACTTTCTTCTTTGTTTTTAAGTGCACCGCAGCAAGGTCAGATTCGTGATTTAATTGAGTAGGTACGTATAAATGATTTGTGGCTAAGTTACTCAAGATATGCTCATTCAGGCCAACTAATTTCAGTTCTTCTATCTTGATCCTTAAAACACCACATTTGCTTTCTGATTTAACAGTATCAATAGAGTTTAGACCCAAATCAACAGACTGCTAGTTGGGGCAGGAGTTTGTCTCAAGCTTATAACCAAAAGACTGTGGTAAAGGAGGAAGCCGAATGCCTGTTCTCCTTGGTCCCAGACAAGGGTATTAACCACTTGCTACGCTTCTTTCCTACACAATAGGCGTGTAATAAACTCCCAGAGCAGAATCTGTTTTATCGCTACATAGTCACTTAAATATTACAAGGCAAATAGTAAATAGGATCGGAATTGGGTAGATAAAAGTTGACACTACCAGAAGAAAGTGTGCAAAGGCCGCTCAGTCTGCCAGACGTACACAAAAAGGATCCACGGTCTGAACCAAACTACTCTTCGACACTAATCTATCTACAAAGGCTTTGGGGCAGTAAGATTAAGCAACCAGGCCGCCAGCAGGAACTACATTAAGAGCTTTAACAACAGTTTCTCTCTAAATGCATTTCCAGCACAGTCAAGATGGGAGAAGAGCCGCTTGGTTCAGTCACGTCTAGCCTCACCCAGACCTGGATCTGCCCCTGCTGGGTGAAGTTACCTCACTTCGGGACGCCCCTGCCTCCTCAAAGCCCCAGCCGAGGGAAGCCAGTTCCATTTCAGAGCTCAGTACGCGCAAACCCACGTTAAGGCAAGAGAACGACCGACTGGCTACTCGGAAGCTTCCACACGTCGCGCCGAAGCCTGTCG